TATATATATATATATATATATATATTCTTCGACTATTTATTTGTACATCTTTTTATTAATTTTTATTCATTTATTTTCTCAAATCATTTTATGAAATTTCAATAACAATCTAATGTTCATTTGTGACTCTCCGACGGAAATATATCTAAGCATATATGTTCATTTCAGTCCATGTAACAAATATTTGATCATATTTCAGAGTATATGGTATTAATTAAGATTTATACTTATATATAATATCAAGAAGCCAACGAGAATACTGGGAAACTAGAGGGCAAAAAAGGTATTGTGGATTTCCATCTCGCTCAAATGTCTCTGTTTTTCTCTAATGAGACTCCATTAGTGTAATTACAATTTAAAACAGAAAGTGATAAAGTCTGTCTATCTTTTAATTACTGCATATATATATATAATGTTAGTGCCACGTGTACGATACATATCCACGACCACGATGCGAAATAAATTCGGGTCTATTATGGTTTGACAACCGAAGTACATTAAATTAATCTAATATTTCAAATATTATTTTTAACATGCATAGGCAAACCAATGAAATAAAATAAATAAACGGTGAATATAACGAAATCTTTTTACATAGAAATATGTATGATTATAACTTCTTTCTATGTTTGTTGATGTTAACCGACGATTACTAAAGACTTATTAGTTCTGCAAACTGATCATATAATATATTTGTTTTATCTTATTTTAAATTATATTTATAAAATATTATAATTCTAGATCTTAAATAATAAAAAACTTTTCAACAATATTTTATATTCAAATCCGAAAATAATATTATATCTTGATTAACTGAGTTGTACATCGATTCAGATAATATAATATTATTCTTTATATTGTAGCAATTTCTTTGTATTTATGTGAAAATCATGATAAATGAAGGTAATTTGGGTAAATTGCTCTGACTTGGGTGTGCTGTTTATTTTTAGACAAAGTCTATAGACGATGTTTTTTGTTTTTGGAAAATAAGAAAAATATGAATTATTTTTTTTATAATTCTAAAATTCACCTTCAACTCAACTATATTTCTTTCAAAGGATCGGAAAAAGCTATTTAAATATTTTTTTCGAAAAAAAATATGAATAATCGTAAAATAGAAGTATGTGACATCATACATGGTGTTTGAGTGTTTATATATATATATATATATGAGATAAAAGCATGCAGTGTTCTCGCTTTCAGTCTTATTTACAAAATTATACTCTTTTTTTTTATTTACAAAAATTCAGTTTATTTTCAATAATGTTAAAACGAGCAAGTGGGTAAGCTTTTTCTTTCGGTGATGCTAAACGCTGTCGTTTTCCTCCTATGAGGGAAAAATATTCGGACGCCACACGTCAGATGAGCAATAAAGGCAGGCCGGGAGGGAGTTTGGTGGTGGGCCTTCCCGTTTGCCGTAGCAAGTCCACGAGCATACGGAATTAATGCTTTGCTTATAAAAGCACGAAAACTGAATATATTTGATGGAGAATTAAATGTTAATTATTTGGTGGATACACATATAAAACGGTGATACGTCAACCCCTCTTTTCGGTAAATATTTGATGGGAGAATTATACGCACAAACAAAAGAGGGATCTACGTAAATGCAAACAGCAGCGGAGAAAACCTCAAGTGAGTTGGTTAAGGAGAATGGGGGAAACCATAAGGTCAGAGATTCAACTCCTTGCCGTCTCTTTAATTCTCACATGTCACCTGTCAGTTACGGCCGATTTTTCTCTCATATGTGTGTTGCAAGTTCGTGTAAGTGGGTTTGGAGTTTTTCTTGGTATGCGATGCTGTCCTCATGTCGTTCTTATCCGGTCCATTGGGATGTGAGGCGTGATGTCCGGTGTCAAATCCAAAGAGTTGTAGGTAGATTCTCCGATGTAAAAAAAACAGCAGCGGGGAATTATCGATTTACCAAGAAAAACTCTCGCCACGTCATCAAGTACACGTGTGAAGGTGTGTGTCAATACATATACACGTGCGTGTGTGCTTATATATTACACACACACGCACGCATGGAGAGAGGAGAATCCGGAGGCGGAGAGAGAGAAGATTGGGTCATTTAGATACGGGAAGGTCCACGTAACTCCCGTGCTCCTCTTGAGTTCTCTCCCCATTATTATCGCTCTCTGCCCAGTTTTTTTTTTCTCGATTACGATCAGAGATTAGAAAAAAATGGAGATGAAGATTCTGGATTACACTCTAATACCGATGGGGATGATGGTGATGGTGGTTTACCATCTATGGCTTCTCCGCCGCATAGTTCGCCGTCCTTCCTCCACCATCGTCGGCCTCAATGTCATCAATCGCCGCCTCTGGGTCCAGGCCATGATGGAGGTATATACATACATACATGTGTCGCTGTCACTACATACACTCCTACGCACATGCATGCATACAGCCATTTATTTATATTTGTTATTTGCGTATATACGAAATTGCATCGACATGGTTGGCATACAAAGTTGCATTAATTACACATCAATGCATATATATATATATATATATATATATATACATGCGCGATGATTTTCGAGGAAACTACAAATTTTCCTGGAAAGCTCTGATTCCTGTTTGGAGAGACGATCGATGTTTTTACGGAATACACGGAAAACTCAACTGAAAACGTAACAAATTGTTTTAGATATCGAGATATTAATATAAATACGAAGACTAATATTTGAGAAGATTGTTTTTTTGGTTTTTATCTGAGAAGATTATATAATAATATGAAGAATATTTTATAATTAAAACGGAGAATCACTCATGCACACATACAATTCTGTAGATATGTACGTCCGCATGAATTGAGAGATAGATTTTTTTATGAAGAGAAATAGAAAATTTCATTGTAATTATATACATGCATATATATATATACACACGCGCGCATGCATATACTTTATTCCCGTAAAAGTAACCCAGAAAAAGTTCAATAGTTCCTTTGGAATCGGAAGATGAGAAGCTGAGAATCTGCGCATAAATATATATATACACACACATGTATATATGTAGATACGAATGGTATGCATATGAACTCACCTCTATATACTGTCATATTGATGCATGTAAATATGCACATGTTCATTGGATGTGTTCCATGGAAATGAATCCAAAGAAACAACTTTTTCGCCTCTTTTTTTTATATCATTTTAACAATTAATTAGATGTTTAAACAATATTATAGAAGAATAAACGACTACGATACTGCATTCCATGCACTAATTAAATCAAGCTTTTGCTAGAGACGTAGATGATGAAATGAATGAGTCAGATTTATGGGAGAGTATGTAAATAGATAAATAAAAAGAACGAAATATTTTAATAATAATCAATGGATATTTAATGTTTTTTTTTTGTCAATATCGATGGTTTTGTTCTTGGGAAATGCACACGTCACATTCAAGGATATACATTTATGGATAACCCTGAAAAATTTGTTTAGATAGAAAAATATTGATCTCTAAAAGATTCTTCTTCTTCATCTTCTTTGGGATGCTTTGTAGGACGTATCCAAGAACGGCGTTTTGGCAGTGCAAACACTCAGAAACAACATAATGGCGTCGACCCTTTTGGCCTCGACAGCCATAATGTTGACTTCACTCATCGCTGTCTTGATGACAAGTGGATCCGGTCAACGCTCGGGTTGGTACGTATTGGGAGACAAAAGCGACCTAGCCTTCTCCATCAAGTTCTTCTCCATCCTCGTATGCTTCCTCGTCGCTTTCCTCTTCAACGTTCAGTCCATTCGTTACTACAGCCATGCAAGCGTCCTCATCAACGTCCCCTCCAAACACATCATCTCATCACCGATGTCTCTGTCGTCCAAACCCAATATCGGTCACGACCTAGACTACGTGGCTTCGACCGTGAACCGTGGAAGCTATTTCTGGTCGCTAGGGTTACGGGCTTTCTACTTCTCCTTCCCTCTTTTCCTGTGGATCTTCGGCCCCATCCCCATGTTCTGCAGCAGCTGCGTTCTCGTCTTCCTGTTGTATTTTCTGGATGTCGCGTTCGAGTTCAAGGCCGTTGGAGTTACAGACGCAGAGGAGATGGAGAGATTAGAAGAAGCTCATCAGAGTGTCTAATTAAGTCAGCTAACTGCAAACTGCAATGTTATGGTCAACACATATGCATGCAGACTGGACTCTCAATGGTCCCGTTAGAGTTCCATTGACATCTATATCTGAGTTTTTGATCTTACATATGATGTCCTGACTCAGGTTCAATGATAGTTGAACAGGGTCATAATGTCTGATAAATAAAGAAGCATTTGGGGATCCGCAAAATTACGATTTGTTTTTCTTATAGTTGATTCGAAAATCGAAATGGCCCCATCTCGAAGCAGCAGGGTGAGAAAATGGGCGAGGAAAGGTTTGGCCCTTTGGCTGCTGCTGTTACTGAATGTGTCGGTTCAGATTTATCTTGGTTCGTGTCCGGTTAAATGTTTCGGTTTAGTGTTGAATAAGTCTAAGACTTATGTAGTCATGTCCGGTAGGAACGGACAAAGCCGTACTTGTATATTTGTAGTTTGGTTGTTAAAATCTCAGTCTATTTAAGGAATTAAAAACAAGACAGAGGTGGGAATAGTGCCGGTTATCTCAGATCCCTCGAGATTAGGGTTTAGGAAGCAGTCTGTAATCAAATCTTATTCGAGTTTTGAATTAGAAAAGATCAACAGTCTAAGATCTTCTTCTCAAATTTTCCATATTTACCCGCTAAAAAGGAAAAAAAAATCTCAACGGAATTAGCTCCAAGATCCGCACCTTGCGGAGGATGAATAGCAACCAAAGAAAAAAATCAAATCTTGCCATCATGGGTTAGGGGCAGAAGACGAATATTGTAATCAAACATTCGTTTTTTTCCTTCTGATTTCTCAATAGGGCTAAACATGTGATAAATTTTGATTAGAAAACAAATGTATAAAAAAACGAATTGAATTTATTCCTGTAAAGACCAAACGATGGTGAAAATACAAAGGAGGAGGGGGTAGTACAAGCTCACATGCATCTTTCTTCTTTCCCTCGTAGCAGTACGTAGAAGCAAAAAAAGAATCAATGAATGTCCATTCAGCAAAAACAGGAAAAGAAAAAAAAATCAAGTCTTAGAATCAAGCGGTAACAAGAGGTTCTTTGGTTTCTTCCTTGACTGCCTCAGCGCTCTCCTCCTTAGCCGGTTCAGCCTCAACAGCGGTTTCAGCTGCAGCGGCTGGCGCCCCC